GGGAGCTGGGGGCTCCCCTTGGCCCTGGCAGCCTTTGCAGGTTGCAAAATGGCACCTCCCCCCCGCCCTTCGCTTTGCCTGAGGACACTTCCTAGTCCCCACTTCCCCAGCCGGGTGGTAGTGGGAGAGACCAGGGGTTTGTAACGAGTAAAACCCACCGCCTCCAGGATATGCCTGAGATGCCGCGCCTTCTGCCCGGACCCCTTCAGGGGGCTGCTTCCTCCTTTGCCGGGGTCCCAGCACGGGCAGTCGTGGCAGCTGGCGTTTCTTCTCTGGGCTTCCTGGTTTGGCTTATGCTGGCTAGTGGATTTTAAAAAATGTACACGTACGTGGCTGGACATCTAACGAAGTTTAACCAGTGTTGCACTCCCCTGTCTCACCTGGCTGTAGGTTTTCTCAGAGCAGCGTGGATCTGATGCCTTGGTGGCCTTTATGTAAAGGCCTAAGGTTGTGTGTTGTGAGAGAAACTGGCCTGAGCAGGTCCTTCTAGGTGAGCGTGCAGGCAGCAGGCTGCTTCACTCCCTGCTGCAATAGCAGGCGTTGAGATGCTTCCTGTTGGGAGGTACCTCATTTAACACCGGTAGTCCGAAGGTGTCATTTGGATCCAGCACCTGTCACAGGTTTGTTGAGCTTCGGTGTGTTGAGCCCTGATTTAAAATATAGAAATTTAGAAATATGTAGAAATGAATCAGAATCTGAGCCTTAGTCTCCAGAATACTTGCATCCCCTGTGGTTGCTTGGGATTGGTTTGGGAAAGGGAAAGGCTGAAGCTCTTCCTTCTTGATTTGGTATCTTTACTACTCCTCTGCACCACCTGTTGTTGTCCTGGTTGCACTCTATTGTGTTCTCCTGTATGTTGGTGTCTTGATAGGGATGTATTAAAATCGCAAAGCCTTTTTTGGGGGCTTATTGTTTGTTTTTTTATTTTGATCTGAGAAGGTCTTGTCCATGGTTCAGTCTGCAGTTCTGCCCAGAAGGCTGTCACCTGATGGTATCAGGTGAAATCTGTGGATGGATCACATTCTCACAGCATAGGATAAATGGTGGTTGCCTTTTTCGGAGTCCATAATTTTAGTCCTTGTCTGCATTATTTTCCCCCTAACATTCCTTTTTGGGGAGAGCCCGAGAACTGACAAAACCCTGACAGCTGTCAATGTTTTACTACCTTGTCTAAGCCATGCTGTTATTTGTACAGGCTAGGGTGGGGTTGAGGGGGCTTTTTGGTTGTGCTTTTAGTCTTTGCTTATATATAAATGTATAGGCGTTGCTGCATTTATAGGCGTTGCTCCACCAATATAGTTGCTCCATTAGAAACCTTGTGCTGATGTTTTCTAGTTTGAATGATTTGACAGTTTTATCTTACTGTTGAGTTTGGAAGAGATGTAAACCAGACCAAAGTAAGGTGCTAATACCTAAATTAGGTTCCACACAGGAAGCTGTATGAGTGGAACTATAGACTTGGATGCACAATGCATTTATGTAAGCATAATTACATAGTATTGTGAATTGTACTGGGATCTGGGCTGCACTGACAAGCAGCTGTCACTTCCTAGGTACAGGCAGTGAACTGTTATTATTGTACCTTGCCACAAGGTGGCAGGGAAATGGGTAACAATCTGTTTGCCAAAAGCAAATAGCTACCCCAGGATAAACAGTAAACACACAAACCACCTGTGCTAGCATAGTTTATACTTTGGTATGGTTTTACCTTTTGATTATTCCTCCAGGAATTCTACACTGAATTTGAGTAAGTTAAACTGTCATAGGGCCCTACATTATGTGCCTGTCCCTTTTTTATACCAGCATAAGGATTAATTATACCAGTACACATGTCATATGTTGATATAACCAGTAAGAATTTCCCCATGTTGGCAACATTTTAACTATATGTACATAGGGCTTGCCTACCTTGGAACTCTAAAAGTTTTCTCACTGTTTGACCTTAATGATGATATTTTTTATGGAAATTCAAATATTACCTTGGTTCCCAACATAGGGTTAGGGATATGCAGGGGCAGGAATGGCAGTCATGTATGGCTTTATGGGGAGGAAGAGCCATTTTGAAGTTTTTTTTTTCTTATTCTATAATATTGTATCATATTATGGAAAAGATAGTCACTGATATACCACAGACTCCTAATGCAAAGCAAAATTGTACAAAGCAACATTCCTACTGAACTCAATTAGAGTTTGTCCGAGTGGAATTTGTAAGATAGGGGCCTTTATTTTTCCAACCCGTTCCTGTTCTCTTTAAAAAGTAAACTTATCTAGCCCTTCTTTCCATCCTATGTGCATTTCACAGTCCATTTGCTAAATTGTTTTGATGAATTCCCAAGTAACACTTCCTGCAAAGTTTTGAGTAATAGCAGCTACTTTTTACTTGCATTGAAGACTATTGTGTAAACTGGGAGGAAAATGTGATAGTTTATCAGCCAGTATTTACAACAAAAAGTCAGGAAATAGCATCCGAGTCAGTTGTTTCCTGAAAAGTGCCATAGCAAGGAAGTACTTGACTGTTCAAGAAGCTTTGCCACTGTTTAACCTTAAAAACACTTTACAGATAAAATGGTGCTGGCTATTGCAAAAGTATTATAAGCAAGGCAAAAAATGCCTCAAGAAAAATGACAAATAAAGCAGATTGGCTAGCCAAGAGTGTTAGACACACTGTGTCTGTCAGTCTTATCTCACGGTTGCCATAGTGTAGTTTTTATTAGCCATACAGGGCAGAAGAAGGATCATTTTGACCTCTTACACAATCAGTTACTATAGATCTTTATTTTATTTAATATAGGTAATTTTAACAACATTCATGTAGGCTGCTTCAGTAGAGACGATTCCAGCAGATACGGTTGGTTTTACAGGATGTGAAAAATGTGGTACAAAAGTTGGGTAACATGTTTGGCAAAGCTCAGTCTATATTGTTGTAGGTGTTGACTCTTAAGGGCAGTAAAACAGGATTGCCATTTATTGCTGTTGCTGTGCAAGCTACAGCTGTATTGCTAATCAAACCTCATGGATTGGTGTACACTGATCAGCTGAAAGTGTTCAGAGAGGAATATTTTTCCCTTTGTGTATGGCTACAGTAGTGTATGGTGGTGCGGGGTGGGTAGGGTTTTAACTTAAATATACAGAGTGCTAACCACTACTGAAAATAAGTGGCTCAATGAGCCACTCATCTGCTTTACTGTGGCAATAGCTGTCTGTGACATATCAGATAATGAAAGGGACTTGCCAAGTCACTTTGTGTATTGGTTTGCTTTCTAACAGAACAACATTGTACAAAAGTAAAATTCTCCTTGGTATAAAATATTTTACTGTGACTAAAGTTGAGATCTGGTCAAGAATCTCCAGGCTGTTTTGGTTGCTAAACAGAGACATAAAGAAAATTCCATAATGAAATATCTACTTTCTAATTTTTTTCTATTTGGTGTATTTTTTATTTCATTTTAGATTGCTAATAAGTGTTGCTAAATATTTTTTTATAGTCATGTTTGGGAAATCAAATAAATCCTTACACTGTGGTTAAATGAAGGACTGAATTCCACTCTCAGCTCTGCTACTGACTTGTCCAAGTTTACTCAACAACTCATTCAACTTCTGTTTCTTTAATTGTCCCAAATATGTGTATAGTATTTATATTTTCACTCCCACAAATAAATTTAGGTTTTAATTTAAATGTATGAAGAGTTCATAACTGTTTGGATGAAAGAATCTATACTAGGGAAATAGAACCATGATGTTTTTATGTTGACACAGTTTCTCTTGCAGCAACTGCAAAGTTAATGTAGTTTAAGATCCACAACAATAATTTTCTCTTCCTGTATTAATTTGTTTGTATGGTTAACTTACACACACAACTTGTACTTATCTAAAAAGGGACCTTTGTCTACACGTGATTCCATTGCCATTTGAATCCGCCTTCCTTTGTAGTTCAAATACTTTTGTTACAATACTGTGTGCAGTGACGCCACTTAATACTCTTATTTGTATTTCTAAGAAAAAACCCTATTTTTAGGGATTTCTGTTTGTTCTGTGAAGTGTTCCATGGTTTGAAACGTGGAATATTGATTTCAGAAAAAAGGGAACACTTTAAAACTAAATTTTAAAATATGTTCTAATTTGTAATTAAAAAAAAAAACTTTTGAGGTATTCCTGTGATTGGGCAATTTGTAATAAGTAATCTTTCATATTTATAGTATAATCTAGTTGCATCTGAGGTGGGGGGGAAGGACTGTAGTCCTAGAGAGACTGTTAGTACAGTATTAGTTACAGTAATGCATATTCATAGAAGAATTAACAGTTGATATGATTCTTCCAGTTACAGAGGAACCAAGTATAGCTTTAAGAAATTGTGAGTAAAGGTGGTTTTTCCAGAGTTCAGAATTCCTACTTCAGCTTCTTCCTGCAGCCCAGTATGCTGCACTCCAAGATTTTCCAGTTCTGACAGTTGACAGATGTCCCTTCAGCTTATGAAACAGTGTGTGTGTGATGCAACAGCAGTATGCAGACATGTTCATAGTTAAAGGGAAATGCACCATGGGTAACCTACTGCATGTTAAAAGGAAGAGTGGTAAACCCTAATTGACAGAACATCTTCAGAGGAAATAGGGTCCTG